AACGCGGCACGGAAAGAGTTTCTGCTTTCTCGGAAACCGTCCGTCAAAGCCATATGTCACATTCTAAATGAGTCTTGTAATTCGTGCGGCAGTCGCGCGGGTGTCGCTTGACAAAATTAACGGCGTCTCCGCGATGTCTTGTTTCGGGATGACAAACGTCCATAGACGTGTAATTTTACTCTTCTTTTATTTTCGGACGTATTCATTTATGATTAGTCTTGAATCATTAAGATATATTCTCTAATTATAAACGAATAAGTTAAATGGAGTAGGTTGTAAAATTAGAATTTAAAGCAAACGTCACTGCAATTCGACGCAAATTAAACGTTTTCGTTAATTTCGCTATCCACGAATTTATCTCCGTCCGTAAATGATACGCGTTTCACAAAAGTATTATAATTCATGAATTCTAAATGTTACCGCCGGGCGTTATCGAGGCGCACCGACGGCGCTTTCAGATGAGTTATATTAAGCTTCCTCCTCTTCTCGGCCATAAACCGTTTTATCTGGAATTTACGTTGTTTATTCGCACTGCTCTACGCCGTTCGGCTTCGCGAATAATGACGCTTCGTGCAGCACGCTCCGTGAAAGAGCTGAAACGGCCTTGCGCCGTCGGAACATTAATTTGCAGCATATTTACACTGTCAGGATAAAGTCTGCGCGCGTAGCTGCGGTGATTCCCCAATAATACGAGTCCGATTAGGCACGCTACATTAGGCACTCCGTTTTCCACGCTTCATCAACGGCAAACGCGCCTGCTCGCGGAATCAGCAAGGGGGGGGGGGATGCTCGGCAAGCTACGCGAATACGCGTGAAGAAAAGAAGGAAAATATATATTTATATAGTCGGCAGACAGATAATTGTGCGAGAACGACGAAGACTCGGATCGCGATTTTACGACGTAGCCGCGTCGCGACAATCATTATCGATAAATGTTTCTTCTCGAGAGACGGAGCGGAGAGCTCGAGGGGAATCGGTTGCGAATTAATTGCCGGCGCGTATCGTTTCTTCGGTGTAAAAATTCCGCGGTTTTCACAGCGGGTCCGGCGACTCACGTCTTAACGAGGATTCTGCGTCACTGGACGACCGTGACGTCTCCGGACGGTCTCGTAACGCCGATCCTCTTACAAAGAAGATTTACGTAACGCGATATCCTGCGGCCGCGCGTCCGTCTGACAATCCGCCGTTTGCACCGAACGGCATAATTGCATCTTCGGCACGAACGACTTAAGTGCACTCGCGACGTTCCGCGGCACGAACGTTTGACGCCTGGCTCGACGGATGAATCATTATTCCGTGAGACACGAAGTGTACGCGGCAGGAAAGGGTGACACCGTTAGAACTCTCCGGTGTAATTTATTCATCCTCGACGTGCAATTGCTTTTCACATTGTTTTTAACAAATGACTTGCATCGAGTAACAGCGGAGGCAATCTCCCGTACGTTGCGACAATCTGCTCCAATAATGAAGACAATGAGCGGCGAAAGGACATCGCTACAAGTTTTATAGGGCCCGAAAGGGGCAAGCGGGATTTTAATGAATTTCCACGCGAGACCACCGCCGCCCTTTGTGTTTGCGCCGAGATTTAGCCAAACGTTGAGGGCGGCGGGATACGAAATTGCTTTAGCACTGACGTTGCCGGCTGCAACGGGCCATAACAGGGTGCATTTTAGAGCGAGCACTTCTCTCATCGTAACAGGCGCGAGATAATGTCATTCATGAGCATTCATCGTACCCTCCGCCATGCACAATGAGCCATTATTACAGAGCAGCTTTGTTCGGTGCGAAAGTGAGTGTACTCTGCTCTCCAGGAAGTAACACTGAGTGTGTAGTGTGCATGTATAATTCGTTTTGACTCAGACACAGGAGTTATTGTACTTCTTCAAATGCAAATAAAAATAAACCGATGACAACAGCGAGATATCAAAATAAAAATTTTAATTGTAAGATTCGTATTTGTTGCCATAAATATGACTTTATATTTAAAAATCGGCTTATCTAGATTAGTTACGAACTATTCGCAAATCTTGCGATATCGATCTGAGGAAGCAATTAAAACCATCGGTTCGAGTCCTTTAAAAGAAAAGATTTTTTTTTTCTACGCTTTACGAATTCACGGAGGTCGTTGCAATTTTCTTTGATAATGATTGTCATTACTATATATGTATACATCCGGCTTGAGCATTTATCCCTTCCTTGAAACATCTTGCACAGAAAGGATTTTATGAAATATCAGTATTTCATATGTTATTCACGAACGAACGATGAAGGCGCAAACGAGGACAATTTTCGCCGTTTGCTTTGTGATCGCGACGTTTAAGCATTTCGGCACGAGTGTCGAGGTTTCGTCAAAGATCGACTTCGATTCTGACGAAAATGAAGAGACATTGAACAGTACAAGCTTCGATATAAACTTGAATAAATCTACTAATCCATCGGAATCAGGTTTGCGTGCATCTAAACTGCCGACAATGCCTTTGCGTCGTGGAAGCGAGCTCATAAAATCAAGCGAGCCAAGAAAGAGAAGAATTCATCCTTCACACGTGAGTAATGCATGTACAATGCAAAAAAATAATTATAGAGTTTCGAAGTTGGAAAAAGTTTATATTTCATCTTGCAAATAAGATTCCTAATATTGTCATTAAATAATTATTTTGTAACGTACAGTTAATTAGAATAATTTCGAAAACAGGATGAATATATATGAATATATTATTATAAGAACATATTTATTCGAAATAAATAATGATTATTCAGCGAGATGTTATAGATTGTCGTTCGCTGTGAAAACATTTATAAGCGCACGGCGAAATTTATTGCACTGACATGAACTTATCAATCGATACCGGATTATATCAACTTGATGGATGAGCTCGTAAACAGACTCGTTATAAATTTATAGGAAACGTAGCATGTATCATGTTGTAAATTTTACTTGCTCAAATCTATTATCATTGTTCGAGGATTTTATTCAATGAGTACTCGCATATTTAATATTGCCGAAACATTGTCTGACGAGACGAAAAGTTAAACAAAATTGATGGATGTTTAATTAATGAATGTACCTATTGCTAAGATAATTGTGACACTCAATATTTTATATTATTATTTTAATATTTTATTAATGATCGTATTGAAACAATTTTCGTATCATTTCAATAACTTGCAGAGATTCAGTCATTATGAAAATTACTTTTTATATTAAATATTGCATTAAAAATTAACAGTGATGCAATCTATTGATATTCTGTGGTTTTTTAATATAATAGAGATAATATAGCAAAATCCTTTACAGAATCATGATTTGGCTGGGCAGCCGAAAGTAATCAATAACATTCAAATCGTGGTAAATGCCAACGATAGCATACCAAGTGAAAATTCTTGCAAACATGGCGTGTGTAATGTGTCTGTTTCGTCGAAACCAGACGGGGAAGGAAATATCGTGACGGAGGTGCATCTCAGCATCATCACAAATACAAAACCGAATGTCAAGATCGATGACGTTCCAGTAATCGAAAGTTTTCGAGGCATCAATGAGAATCGCGTCGAGCAACCTATTTTTTATTCAATAAACACGCCGAGTGCGGTGTATGCACACCGTAGCAATATTCCACAGGTAACAAATTGGTTTGTCTTATTACGTAAAATATAATCTTATATAATATTCCACAAGAATTGATGTCACACAGTAATTAAAGCTTGTGTAACGCGTTAATATAGAAAGTGTTCTCTTATCATGACAGATTCAAACTAATTATCAGGGATATGGCGAGCCCTGGTATCAACATCAACGTACTTTTCAACGTCCGCATGGATATTGGAACTATCGTCATTTTGAAGACCGCGACAACGTGGGATATCGAGGACATAAAACATGGCCGCGAGATAAACCTGTAATAGATGATAAGATCGAACCGCCACTTAGCAAAACCAAACCGAGTGTTAACGTAAAGTCATGAAATGCGTTAATAAATTGCAAAACTTTGATAATTAAAATATTAATATATGAAATAAAATATTAGATTATATATTGTCACACGATAAAATAAATAAAATCATTATAAAAGCATCATGAATTTAATTTATGCATACATAGTAAGTATAACAATATCTCAAATATTAAGCTAGTAAACATAATAATTAAATGCAGAATAATTGTCACATAATATTTGATCGCTCGATATTGCTGAAGAGAAACATATTGACGTAAGAAAGTTATTAAGATTCTTAAATATTTCACCTGTGAATTCTTGCTCGCGAGTCAAAATCGAGCTATCAATATAATTAACAATTGGAGAAAAATTTAGAAAAATTATTCAGATAAGAGGAAAGACAGTAATACCAAACTTTTTCTAGAAAGAATCTATTAGTTCTAAGAAACTTGAGTATTTATTGGTAATCTTGAGGAAACATTTGAGCCCTGAGTCTCGAAATTTTGCGACATCAGCAGCTCTGAATTGTAAAAATTCATCGTCATTACAATAATGTTATATAGCACATGGTAAATAATAGTAAAGTAGTATAGTAGTTAAAATTAACAACGCAGAATGTCATTAATCATGCACTGTGCGATAAGAAATCTTTCCATTGTCGTTCACACCGGTGATGGACGACTTCTGATTAATCTGCTTGCCATCCGGACCGGTTCTGCTGGAAGAACTGGAACTGGCAAATACGCCGAAACTGTTACCAGATGGCGGAGGAAGGTCCTCAGCGAACCTGGATTCTATTCCTGGTCCGGCCTACGAGAGATCGTCCATAATAATGACTTAAAATGCTAAGCAAAGTACTACTTATTTCTATTACTTTCTAGACGCCTCAATTATATATAAAATTTTAAAAGTGAATTAATTGTATATCATTTTTTATCAGAATTTTGTTTCTAACGCAAACAAATATGACTTACAGGATTGATTAAGCCCGATTGGAAACCACCACGTGGACCTAAGCCAATGCTGGCACTCGCAATTTGCGGTCCGTAGCTTCCGTCGCTGCCGTAACTTCCGCCACCTCCTTGGTAATTAGCGGCTTCATTAGCCAAACGATTGTGGAGCTCCATATTACTGTATAACAAAATTTATTCTTTTCACTATACTTAAAACATCTACTTTAGCTGTAAGCGTAATCACATTTAAGAGTAAATCTGTTGAAATATTGCATGCCATAAAAAAGATTGTTTATTATTCCACAGTAAATTTGTCACAATTACATCTTACAATTTGAACAAAAGAATCGATACGTTATTCACATTATTACCGACATATTGTTGAGTAAAATATTATGTGATATTTGAGAAATCGTTTGGTCATGAATTACCTATTAACACCTGTGTTGGGTGAGTTACCGTATGTTGGATATCTCATATTGTTCATATTTGGCGAGGCCGAATAAGAATAACTGTTAGGAATATTTGATGCAAATGGTCTTCCTTGATTCGAAGCCATAGATTTGCCGATTCTTGAACCAAAATTGCAAGAAGAAACCATCACCGAAAGCACACAAGATAATATAAACAGAGAAAGTTAAGAGAACACACAGTAAACATAAATTAAAGAAAGACAAGGAAACATATAGTAAAAATATTAATTGCAGTTAATTGAAGATAATGATATTGTTGATTAAATAAAATGAGATCTGGTAGAAAGGAAATTCTATTATTAATTTAAAATTAATCCTCAATTAGTAGAAATGACCTAAGAAGAAGAAATGTTCAAAATTGTTAAAAGTTATATTATGTATTTGTTAGAATTATCTGATGTTAAGAATGCTAAGAAACATTTATGTAACGATAAATGCAAATGATTTCACGATTACAGCAAATTGACTGCAAATCAACTGTTCGCTGTAAAATGTAAGGATTCAAAGTTTGCAATTATCAGAGCTACTGAAAGACTTACGCCTGATGCTGTGCCTCAATTTGCGCCTGTATCTGCTTGAACATATCTAAGGGATCCTGAAAACCAGGAAATTGTCCTGGGTAATAAAATCCGGGTCCTGCGTTATACAATGGATCTGTGAGAAAAAAAACACGCAATAAGATTCAGATAATGATGCACTGCATAAGACATGCAACATACATGCAATTACAATTGATTATAAATCACGTGGAATACCTAAGTACGTATGTACAGCTAAATAAATAAACAAATAAATATTGTACATAAACAATAAATAAATAAACGCTCATACAAATAAATAAATGTATAAACGCACGCATGCACAATAAATAAATAAATAAATAAATATCAAAAATTGTTAGCGGCTTCGCAGAAAAAAACGATTCCGTTCGACAAAATATCATGCATCTCTAAGAGAACATCAGCACAAATTCGTCAAACGATTTTTGCGAGATGTGTAAATTCCGATGTCTTCTTCGCTTTTGATATCCAATTCGTCCCATTGTTTTGTCAACTTTTCACAAAAAGAAATTGCCAAACCACAGCATGCAACCCCGGAGGATTCATTCGTTATCCTCCAAAATCCTGCGTCCGCCTTCGTCCTTGTCGACTTTTTTGGTTCATGCTCGTACCTACTCCGCCGTAACCGT